ATAAATATCATGGTCCCCACCACCCCATTTTGGCAATCTAGTAAGTCTCTCAGTCCAATTGTGCGTTGTTGTGATGATAAGTAACAGCATAATGAAAGATTTTTATATTTATTTTATTTATTAAATAGAAATTTCATTAGAAAGAAGACAGTTTCTTATCCTATGTAACATTATCAATCCAAATATTTAGATATATGTATCAACAGGTAGGAATGTCATATACATACATAAAAGATGACAAATCAAGTTAATACATGTCACGCTTACATAGGAATTGACAATTCAAATAGCTGGTTTATATATAAACATTAACAATAACCCCAAAAAAACAAGGGGAAAAAAAAGGAAAAAGGAAAAATACATAACACATATTTTGGCAAATTTTGAGTAGCGAAGAGAACAACCAATAAATACAAGTTACTTGTACTAAGAGACTATGGAGGTCTAGGGGGACCAAATTTGCTTCGTTTTCCTAGGGAAAGAATTAAAAATATAGCTTGTTTCCATTTTATGTTGAAATTCAGTTTGGGACATAATTTTCATCCAATCAGGGGGAAAGGGAATTTCTTTATCCTTAGATATTTAAATATATCTCTAGCAGGTGAACCCTAAACACATCCGGGAAGGCTATACCCCCTTTCGAGTAGCTCCTACGTAGTAATTCAGATGCGATCCTAGGGGGTTTATTAGCCCATATATAATTATAAAATAAACTTTGAAATCGATTGAGCGTCTCTATTTTGATTCTAAATGGAATTGACCTGAAAAAATATGAAAGTTTTGGTACCAAAAATGCTTTAACCATATTTATTCTACCAATCCAGGAGGGTTCCAATCGCTTCCATTTTATAATTTGATGTTGCAAATCTCTAAATAAGTTATCATAATTCGATTGTATCACTCTAGTAATATCAAGGGAAGTCCTGATCCCCAGGTAATCAATCTCTTCCTTAACCCAAACCAAATGAAACTGTTTAGATAATATATCTTTTTGGGCCTCAATTAACATAAAAGATAAAATCTGAGATTTTTTCATATTGATCTTATAATCAGAAAAGTAACTATATGTAGCTATATCTTCCAACAAATATGAAATTGAGACCTGTGGATCAACTAAGGTAAGGATAATATCATCTGCGAACAGGGTTACTTTCACATCCCTATCTCGCATTTCCACTCCTTTTATGTTAGTGTTTTGCCTAATCAGGGTGGCCAAAGGTTCAATTCACAATATGTATAGTAGGGGAGCCAAAGGGCAACCCTGCCTAGTACCATTCTTGATTTCAAAAATTTCTGAATCAAAAAAAGGATTGCTAATTTTTTGCTGAGGAGTTCTTGTATAATGACAGTCTTACGCCTAAATTGGCCCACTATGCCGAATTGGCCCATGACAGAGTCAAGGAATCTCCAACTGACCCTGTCAAAGGCCTTCTCGGCATCGAGGGCCATAACCACCGATCCCACTCTGTTGTTGTTAATTCTATTAAATTGAAGATCCTATGAGTATTGTCGGTAGTACTTCTTCCCTTCACAAAACCCAACTGATCCACTCCAATCAATTCGCTTATAACCTCTTTAAGTCAATTAGACAAAATACTAAAAACATTTTTTTTATCAGTATTAATCAAAGAGATCGGTCTATAGTTAGTAATTAGAGTGGAATCCTTGTCAGGCTTTGGAACGGGGATGATTGATGCTAACATCATCTCTTTTGGAAAGGGAGAGTCTATGGATACTTTTATAAACATTTCTAACAAAGTAGGAGAGACAGAATTAAGAAATGTCTTATAAAATATTACAGGAAAACCATCCGGACTTGGCGCTTTATTTAGTTTTAGATTATTTATCGCCTCAACAACTTCCGTTAGCAAGAATGGAGCATTAAGTCTTTCTAGATTCGAAGTGTTAATTCTAGGGAGATTAAGGCTACTTAAAAAAAACTGTCTATTTCTAGATCGGTGGCTTTTACTTTGTCCAAATTATACAAAGAACTATAATAATCCACAAATGCCTTGGCAATATCATTTGGTGAAATTAGGTGAGTATCCCCTGAAATTAATTTTTTTATAGATTTATCTTTATTATAGTTTTTAAGTTTATTTGAAAGGTCTCTATTAATTTTATTGCTATTGTGGTACCATCTTTGTTTAAGAAAGGTAAGGTTCTTATTTACCAATTCGTATGTTTTTACTTTGATAGATAGTTTTAACTTATTTATTTCATCAGTTAGTTATTTGGTTGTTAGTTTTTTATTTAAATGTTCTTTTTCAGCCAGTTTGATCCTAAGTTCTTGAAGAGTGTCTCCCTTCTTTCGTTTAAGTTCAGATCCGTGTTTAATTAATAAACCTCTGATGAAACTTTTCAGAGTACACCAAACCATGGAAACCGAGACTTCTCCATTATTATTAATTTTTAGAAAGTTCTCAATTTCCACTGAAATGGAGTCCCTAATATGATCGACCTTCAATAGACTTTCGTTAAGTCTCCACCTTGTCCTAGGTCCAAAACTATCTTTAAGTTTGATTTAAAAAAAAAATAGGGGCATGATCCGATAATGCTATAGATCCAATATTGACCTTAATAATTGAATCAAGGAGCCCTACTTTAACGAAAAACATATCAATGCATGAGTAAGTCTGATGGACATGAGAAAAAAAGTGTAGTCCCTCTCTCTTGGATTGAATATCCTCCAGCAGTCGTATAAAGAATTTTTAACTAGAAAGTCTGCTAAATTATATGAATAGCTATTTATGGAATTGGGACACCCTGTATGTTTGTGGCTTCTATCTTTCCTTGGATCTACAACACTATTGAAGTCTCCTCCCATTAGTATTTTACCACTAGCTATCTCGTCTGTTGTTTCCATAATCTGATCAAGTAGTTCTTCCGGATTGCGATTTGGGGCGTAGATATTTACCCGGGTATAAATCATACCATCTATTTTCACAACCAAGAAAACATATCAACCCAGTGGATCGGCAGAAAAATGTATAGTTTCAACCACATGCCTATTGGAGATCATAATAGCAGTTCCTCTTTTCTTTTTTTTCCCCTCTTTGAAGCAAATACCCAGGGATACTGCTTAAATCTCCACAGCCTATCGGGAGGATCAATCCAGCGAGTCTCCTGGATAAACACAATATCTACTTGGTTCTCATTTAAAAATTTATATACAGCTAACCTCTTTTGAGGTGAGTTCAATCCCTGAACATTCCATGAAGCAACATTAAGTGTCGTCATAGTACCAAAAAATCTCTATTAGGCCCCGCATGCCTCTCCATCGGCCAGAATAACAACAACAAAAATAAATAAATAAAAAGTTTTTAAAAAAATGAATAAATAGAAAAAAAAACCACTAAAAAATAAAAAAAGAGCATAATAAAAGATTTTTATTGGTATGAGTTTAAAATCCTAATAAAGATCGAAACTTTGTAAGATGAATACAAGTCTAGAAAATAAGTAGTCCATTTTGACAGGCCTAAGGAAATTAAGTCATATTGTTACGGGCAAATGCAAATATTACAAGTTTTAGAATGAAATGTTGTATTTCTTAAACTGTGTACTTTGTCTTTAAGAGATATTGCAAACTGACAAGGTGTAAGAAATGGAACATATTGTTTTTCATAACTGTTTCTTTAAGCAATAACCTCAGTGCATAATATGTTTGCGCCATTTTGTCCCAGACGAATTACAATAACAATAATGCATAAACAAGCTTCAAGGCTATACTACGACACTTGCAGTACACAATATACTGTGGTAACCCCAAGTTAATGGAACTTCCCCAAATCCGGGAATCTCCCACGACTGTACACTTACGACTTAGTATAAACAACAGATAACCTATTCAGACTTTAAGATGCCATCTTGAACTAAGTCAGGAAAATTTCCATGACGTATACACCCTTTAGTTATGGCCTTGTATGTTTGCCAAATTAAGGGAGGACCTAAATTGAATAAAGTAAAAGAAGTGTTACTTTTTCATATTTGAACTACAGTAACCTAAAATGGAGACACCTAAGGTATAAATAGGTGTACTTTTAAATGTTAAGACACAGAGGAGAGACTTGGAGACAGACGCTGCTCCATCTTAAAATGACAGAGAGGCTGACATGATGACATGTTCAGAAGGGTATGTTAACCTATTAATGATATTTGCAAGCATGTAATTTAAATCTTATAAACTCTGCTATAATGGATTTTATATTTTTATATAATAAATATCCAAAAAGACAATCTTGCTTCCAAGACAATCCTTATTTTATATTGTATTCTCAATTATTTATATATGTTAAATAGAGGATCTCTTACACTATATAAAATTATGGCTAAGATATCTGTATGGTTAGCCCTACTAAGTTCTATGCTTTAAGACATTATAGTGGTAAATAAGGGAACCACACACGGTTACAATTGGCGACCATGAAGGGACTTTGTACTTGGAAGCTTTAAATATAAAACAAATACCTAGGTAACCTCTTATACGTAAGAGAAGACACAGTACTTTGTCATGGCACAAGTCTTGAAATATCAAGAATCTATTGAGCTATGTGTAGCCCAGACTCAGAGAGAGATCTTCATCATTAGAGATGATTTTAATGTGAACAAAGCACTTCAAAAGTTCAGGTGCCAGGTACAACGTAATCAACATAATTAGCATACAATGCTGAAATTGTGGATCTTAACTAATTTCATAATAGAACAAATATACATATTTGGTAAACTCCCTGATATGCCTAATACACCAGCACAGCATGGCCCATTAGTTCCAGGACAGTGGATTGCAGACATGGGGATATGTTCTCTTTGTAGCTGTTTAGTATGCATGCGCAGGAAAAAGATGAATGCAAAATGTTGTCAAAAGAAAAGTGATAAGACAGAGCGATGAAATTTGAAGTCTAATTCCAAGAATGCAAAGAAAATTGCATTATGGCTTAATGAAAACATTCATGTAACAGACAGACAGGATTTTTAATTATTGCATTACTGCGTTCTGGATTCTAATGTCCACTATATAAGAAAGGTTTTAGAAAACAGTGATATTTTCCATATTGTCAGTTAGGCTAGCTGTTGATTGAAAATCAGGAATTATAACAGCATAACTATTTTTGGAGTCTGGAATTTCCAGCCAAGGTTGCGGAGATACAGAGACATGTAAACATTCCAAGGAATTGAGAAGTCGTTGTTTTATATTCCAAATTATGAACAACAATATTACATACAGCCATAAAGAGAAAGACATGGCTTTTAAATAAATTTAGTGCAGTACAATGCAGTACACTGCAGCATGTATTTTATATAATATATAATTAACTAGCTCATATTTTTTCCTAAACAGAGTTGAAATTATACTACCCTCCTAGAAAAAGGGCAACAGGTGGTTATACATCCTTTGCTTCTCTAAATGCTCTGCAAAAATAAATATTGATAAAATGATTAAAAATAATATATATGTAAGATAAATCAGGGCAAAATAAAATTGTAACTATACAGGATCTCTAATAACTTTTAAACTGAAATTATTAAAGGCTTATTTAAATAAAATGTTAAATACATTTACAGCTTTAAATGTGACCAAAAGATATTAAATGATGTGTTAAGCAGCCAGCCCAATTCACTGGAATAGCATAAGTATTCTACTATTTAAAGTGCACAATTCCTGCACATAATGACATTGCTTACTTAGGTACAGTATTTAGTCTATTGCAATGGCAGTAAAGTCCACCAATTTTAAAAGGGAGAGCTTACTTAAATCATTGGTACTATCCCACCGTACTAGCAGTAAGGAAATTAGAACAATTATATTGTACTACTGACTGTAATCAGATCAGACACATGTAATCTCAGTGAATTTCATAAACTAGGTTTTTATAAAATACGATTAAATAAATAAAAGTATATAGACTAGGCAATAACAGCAGTTACATGCATTCAGCAGCCTGCTCTCTCAGAGCCAGAAACGGATTAAAATAAATAAATATAAAGAGTAGGTTTTAAAAAGTCCACAGTCAACCACACATGAAGGGTGAAATAATTGCTTCTTTAAAAGCTATATGCTGCTGCAATTATGTATATAAATACTGATTAGGGCACAGAGTAGAAATAAAAATACAGTTTCAAATCTCATATATGGGGATTCAGTTCCACCACATATTCTACAATTCTGAAAGAGGCTAATTTTAATATGTTGTAAAAGCACATATAATGCAAAATTAATTTGATATTGCAAGGCTGCAATATTCTAAACAGACATTAAAATTTAAGAAAAAAAGAAAAAGAATAATGCATAAAAAATAGTGTCAATTAAAGTGATAATACTCTGATATATTAAATCACATTGCATATCACATATCTGCTATATGAAAAGTATAATTAAGGTGACTTTACTGCCCAATGCCCCCTCACATCTATTTTATAGAATCTATACTTTTCAGTGGTCACCTCCAAAGAAGCCTCTGAAATTGGGGGACTCAGAGGGGTGCTCATCCCAAAAGAAATCAGATTCCAGACTTAAAATAAATAAATGATAGAAAAGGAATCACAGACCAGAACATGCATTTTTGTATATAATCTTAATTTGCAGATATTTTATGGCTTAAAGACATATAAAGGATATTTAATTAAATATGCAGGCAACTTTAAAAATTAAGCAAAGTTAAAAAATAAATAAATAAAATAATAATAATAAAAAATTTATTTTACACCACAATATAAACAGCTTTGTTAAACAGATTTAAGTACAAGTACTTATGTCAAGAAATATACAGAATACGTTTACAACAGGCAGGTTTAGAATAAATGCAAAGTTGTTGTTTTTGGGGATTTATTATTGCCCAAGAAATCTCTGAACATATTCAGAATTTTTGAGAGCAGCAAGCATAGACAGCAGATTGCAATGGACACCATTACAATATTGCTTTGCCGATTGAGGTCAGAGGTTTAAAGAATAAATAAATAAATGTTCTATAGCTCACTAGACCACTAGCTTTTAATGAATAGTTTGCACAACACTTATAAATAGTTTGTAATACTGCACATTATAGCTGTGACAACATAATACACAGGGTAGCAATGCTATGTCACTGTTTAATAGACTTACCCAGTATTTAAGGACGACATGTTTCTTGCAAAGTCATCGGGTCTTTGAGGGAGGTTCTAACTACATTTAATTAATTAATTAACTTACTAAAGAAAAAAGAAAAAAATAAGGTTTTGGTTTTCCCCTGCAAGTGAGTTTTCAGCGCAAGGTCATTTTGTGTTCACAGACTATTCGGATTTAAAAAAAAAAAAGCTGTTCTTTATCTCACATTATGAACGGCCTTGTAATTCCTATGCACACTAAAAGTTGGCTTTTAAATGTTATTGTTTTAACTTTAATATTTCATAGTTAATACAGAGGATAAAGTAATATAAAGAAAGTATATTAATTGATAAGATTTCATTTATCTATTTTGGTCCACTGTTCACTGATCTCGAATCTCAGTCTGGTGTTCAAACAGTTTTTCTTACGATACATCGTGAGTTTATATCCACAACTGCATTTTGCTTTGTGGAAACAAATTGAAAGCCTGGCATTGTAATACGTGTATGGACATGCTTATAACAAAGCATGGTCCCTCTCCTCATGTCGTTAACAGGCACTTTGATGCAATGTGTCTACCAACGCTTTTCTGTGGTCACTGGATCACATCGCATACCCTAACTCTCTGTCATGATGCAGAGTTTATGCTTGCAAGGATATCCAGACCTTATCCACCTGGTATCCGCATAAATACTCCTATCGTTTAGAGGGGTTAATTACATAACCATTGAAGGTAACATGTTGGTTGTTCTTCCTATAGAGGAAAGATAGACTTGCCCTAAAAGCTTTTTCATGGCTAGGACAAGTTCTTATAGAGAGAGGTAATGTACTTCTGTCTCCTGAAAATGAATATTGGTGGTCACAATATGGGAAATACTGTAATTCATGTGTTTAGTAATCATAAGCATTTGCTTATTGCCACATTACTGATGTACTGTTTATTGAAATATTAATATCTAACGTACTTTTTGGATTACTATATATTGGAGGTTTGCCAACATCTCATGGTTATAAATATGTTTTTGTATATGTTAATGCATGTACCAGGTTTACTTGGATATATCCTGTGCGAAGTGCAACCTCTGATGCCACGTTTTCTAGTCTCACTTCCTTAGTATGCATTTGATAATCCCAGGACCATCCATTTGGATGGTGGTCCTGCAGTTACTGCAAAGGAAACCTAAAACTGGGCAACCACATTTGGGTTACTTTGGGATTTCAGTGCCCCAACCACCCCCAAAGAAGTGGGGTTGTGGTCTGGGAGAATGCTGAGGTTAAATGATTATTAACCAAGTTACTAGTTGCTTGCCCCACACAGTGGTATCTATTTATTCCTATGGTACAGATAAGCATTCACAACATACCTGATGATACAAATGGTGAGACACCATATGAAATGTTACATGTTTTTCACTGACAAATATATTTCTGCACCAGGGAGAGCTTAGAACCATTGGTTCTATTAGAGAAATTTAGGGAATTTTTTTTTTTCCAGCCCACCTCGCCTTGCACCACCACCTATTTCCTTCTGTTGGCCAGTTTGTCCTGGAGAGGGTGATACCGAGAACTTTTACTACAGAGAACAATCAGACCCAACAGAGAACAGTAAGTTTTGATATTTTACAACCTGCTAAATATTAACAGGACATTCACAGAACCACTGACTGACACAATGGATGCTGTTAAAGATGGCAAGATAAAACAAACAGAGGACGACAGAAAAGCCACCAGAATCATAGACAGACTGAATCATGATCTGACATCTGAACCTGCAAATGTGAAGGAGAAGGATGAACAGACAGACGTGATACATTCACAGTTAACATGGAATGTATGAAAAATGAATCATCAACATCATTATAAGAAAGACTCTGGAGAAAACAGACTGAACCTGAATTATTTTATACAGTAAGAAAGAAATGCAAAGATGGAAGCAAAATGATGCTAGAAAATTGGTTATGGTGTCTCCTTCTTACAGTCTGCAGCATTATCATAACATCAACCCTAGCTGTCGTTTTAAAACTGCATTGGGATTATGTTAACAAGCAGGAAGCACCTGAAATGAATTGGACTGCACACTATACAAGTTCTGTGATCGTGAGGACTACCTCCAAGAACCATCCCAAAAGGAGAGACACAGCTCACAGTGAAATGATTGCCTACACTGATATTTCACAAGGAACCTATTGAGATCATTCTAAAAACCGATTATACATGAGAAAGATGTGATTGGACTATTACAAATCCTAATAATGGAATCAACGATGATGGCAAAGCATGCTGAAATCAGAAAAAGATGGGACAGATGCTTTGGATGCACCTATGAAGGTGATGCAAGAAAAGACTTTGCCATATAGTTTATCATTGAGTGACTACCGCAAACAGCCTTCTTATGCTGAAAAGAAGTGCTATGCTAATTCTGGACATTGTTATTATGTATCCAGACAGAAGATGACCGGAAAAAGAAATAAAGGCTGATAACTGTCAACTCCCAGCTGTTTTTCAAGATGGAACATGGTACTGACAAAACCAGATTGACTATCAAAGCACCTCACAGTACATGACACAGATTGTTAACTACAACTCAGAAAAAGTGGTTAATAGGAAGGAGCAGAAGAAGAGGAATATAGATTTCCTACTGGAGAGAAAAACCATCCTGGAACAATATTCTGTAACAATGAACTTTACAATGACATTTGGTGGCATATGAATTTGAATTTGGTCGAAACACATCAATTAACGAAAGAAACCTTGATGCAATTAATAAATAATAACAATACCGGCTTACTAAGGGCAGATGCCCTGCCAAGAGAATGGAATATAAAAGGCCAGCAAAATCTTTCAGAAACCTGACATCATGGGACACTTGTACTAAAGCACGATTTGCAGCTTTTCTTAAACTCTACATATTATGTACATACCTGCAAAGCAAGGAATTCCTGTAAACATAAACATAGAGACATTGATACAACAAGGAATCTGTAATGGTTCTGTTGCAGATGTGATCTACCAATGTACTCCTTGCTCTTTTGGTATAACTATACCAATGAAAACGTTAAATGGCTCCATAGAATCAAACGACAACGGATTATTGCTATATTCTGGACTTCCAGGAATGTGGTGCAT